GAGTGCTTCTCTGACACTAATCTGAGTTCTTGGGGTTGCCCGACTTAATCCCACCTGGAACAAGCCCAACTGAGGCAGAGTTCAGGTGTGGAATGGAACAAGACACTGAGGCAGAGTTCAGGTGTGGAATGGAACTGGTTTGAGAGTAATTTCTGCAAAGATTAGACTTTTACCACCACAGCTGATTGCCAGCTCAGGCCTTGGTGAAAGAAGCCTTAACCTAGTGATTCCAGGTGGACCCAACTGGTGAGTTAGTGGAACTGGCAAAAGGTGAGTGCCCCTGGAAGGACCATCTCTGTCACCTGGAATCTGACCAACATACACCATGACTATTGCCTTTGTTATCCACATTGGCCAGGCTGGACAGTGGCAGGTCCATTGAGTGCCCAAGGAGCTCCACTCCTTCCAAAAAACTGTTGACTTTTGCCAGGGTCTTCCAGACAAGACTTTTGACCAGGTTCATGGGATCCCTGGATTCATCTTTGTTCTTATCAGTGGCTTCATTGGGTTCTTTTCATTGGAACACTCCAAAGGGTTCTTTGAACATGGCCCATGTTATCTTGGCCGAGTGCTTAGTACCTGCCACAAATCCCTTAGTCCTATAAACCTTTTTCCCTCTCTTAAAAGAAGGGGTAGTGCAGAGGGTGGTATGACCGTTTAGGAAAGGTTTTCTCTATTTATTTTCCAGTTATTAGTTTAGTCATTCAGTTCAAACCCTATTCCAAGTCCTGTGGTTATATTCTTGGACAAGACTGACCAAGTCCTCTCACAGGTTTGGATGAGTAGGACCATAAAGTATTAAAACCAGTAAGTGTGGCCCAGGATATAGCTCAGTGGTGCCACACCTGCCTGGCAACCATAAGGTCCTGAGTTTGATCCCTGGTAAAATAAATAAATAAATAAATAAATAAATAAATAAATAAATAAATAAAACCAATAAGTGTAATTTAAAGTCAGATATCTATAAAGTATATGGAGAAATAGGAAAAAGATGGGGGACAGAGAGCAATGAGAGAGAAGAGGTGATTAACAGATGAGGTGTGCTGGGAAGGATCCTTCCCAATAACCTTGAGTGAAGCTTGGGTAAAGTGAGGTGGCAAGGCTGGGAGGAGCCAGGGGCAGTGTCCTGGACTGAGGAACAGCGAGTGCTGTTTTGTTTTCTAATGTCCCAAGTGGCTGAACAGTAACACCTGAGAAGCCATGATAAACAAGGTGTTTTTTTTTCTTTCTCTATTGTATTTTTAAATGGTGTTTTCATGATACTGGGTGCAACACAGCTGATTTAAGCAAGTGGCTGTTGCACAAAGGTCATTAGAGCAATCAGTCCAGCCAAAAGTCTCATTTAAGTAGGCCATTTGTTTAAAATAAATGTAAATATACCTTATAGGATTCTTGTTTGATTTGTTACTCTGTTCCCCAGTGCCCACTCTGGAATGCCACTCATAATAGGATCCAGTTAATATTTGTTGAATGAATTAGGCCCACATACAGTTTAACACTTAGAAACATAAAACATAAAACATCACCTTTCAAACCTTTTCAAAGAAGTACTTTTAAAGTAGGCATTTAAACACAGACTCAAGGCTTCCTCCCTTTGCCCTAGAAGTGTGGGGACTTGGTTTAAATGGCTTTGTATAAAACTGAGGTATAATTCACATACCATAAAATTTACCCTTGAAAGTGTATTAATATTTAGTATGTGAACAAAGTTGTGCAACTGTCAACATGACTTAATCCCAGAGCATTTTTATCACCCAAAGGAAACTCATTAGAAGAAACAGGGCATATCCATTAGAAGTCACTCTACATTCTGCCTTGCTCCTGGCCCATGCCAACCACTAATCTGCTTTCCAACACTACATATTTGCCTAATGTGGCATTTCACATAAGGGGTCACACCGTATGTATCCTTTTTGTGTCGGCTTCTTTCACTTAATGTAATGTTTTCAAAGTTAATCCATGTCATAGCACATATCAGTACTTCATTTTTATAGCTGAATAAAATTCCACTGTGTGGCTATCCCATGTTTTGTTTATCCATTCTTCAGTGATGGATATTTGTATTGTTGCCATTTTAAGGTTAATATAAATAATGCCTCTATGAGCAATTGTGAGTGAGTTTTTCTATGGACATAAGTTTCACATTCTCTTAGTCCTTTGAGTATACATGACCTTTTAAAGGTACGTTTTTTTAAAAAAATCATTTTATCTTAGAAGTATTTCGCACTTTTGATATGTTTTAAAAGATTGCATGGTTATTACTATTTATTTGCTTAAAGTCCTAGTTGAATTATTTCACGTTTCTCCAGAAATATAAGTACCACTGGCCTTTCAGGAAGATGTCCTCTGTGTCCTGTGGCTCTGGAACCCCCTGGCTCGTGTTTCCCTGAAAAGGAGCAGGCCACTGTTTAGTGTCATTCTGGTAGGAAATTGGGAGTAGAATTCTAAGTAGATGGTACCTTGCCTCTTTGTCAAGAAATATTGCAGCTTCTTAGAAAAATAATAAAATATTGAAAGTTGGAACTAGACAGGACTATGGGAGTTTGTGTAATCCAGTCCTTTTATTTTACTCCTCTTTGAGCTGAGGGAGGCCCAGGAGGTTAAAAATCCTTGCTCGGGTCCTGCAGCAGGTTAGTTAGAGAAGCAGGGTAGAAAGCCAGATCTCCTGATTCCTGGTTCAGTGCTCCTTATACAAAACTTGACTTTGCCTGAATTGTCTGAATTTAAAATCATATAACACAAAATAAACAATTCAGGGCCGGGGATTTGTCTCAGTGATTCCACTGTCTGTCTCCCAAGCACAAGGTCCCAAGTTTGATCCCCAGTACCAAAATAAATAAATAAATAAATAAAGATTGCATGTAAGTAATTTTTTCAGATAAATGCTTAGCGAAAATGCTTTCCTAGTTTTACAGAAAAAAAAAGCTCTTAGCCTTGCCCTCATTAATTCACATGGACAAAGAGGGAAAATAGAATTAATGAAGAAATACTATCACTTGTATTTTGTGCTCAAAAAAGAAAGAATTATAGGCATTTGTAAACACTGAGACCATCATAAACAAAAATTATACATTCCTGTTAACTTCCCTCCCTATTCATCCTGGTTTCTTTGCATCACATTCTGGCATTTACCAGTAGTTTAAAAGGGGAGTGCAAGGATTAGGTGTAATTATTCTACCTAACTGTAGTCAGATTATGCAATGGCTTATACAGTTAAATCGCTTGACTTGCCTAAATGTCATGCTGGATATAACTTATCCTCACAGTGAGTCAGAAGTGGGAATGGGTTCATTCACTGTTTCCAGTAAGCAACTTACCACCAGCAGGCATTGTAACTGGTAGGAAAGGTAGGACCAGAATGTACACTTACTGGAAGGGCTCAGAAATGAGCCCTTGGGTCCTTGCATAGGGCTGTAGGTTAGCCACAAGCAGCTGAGAATGTGGCACCATCCCAAAGCCAAGAAAAGGCTCCTGATCCCCAAGTCTGGGAATGTTGTTCCCAAGCACAAACCCGAGAACAGGTGCTGTATACAGCTTTGTGGTCCAGGCATGGGTCACAGCCCCATTATCTCAACATAATCCTGGTGTTTTTTTCTCCATGTCCCTCATCTCTAAAATTAGGCAGGTGGACTTGTTAACTTTGAAAAAAAACTGTTGACTTTAGAATATCACAGCTTCACAATTTAGTGGTTTTAGATGTCAAGTGTATTGGCGATAAAAAATAATATCCAAAGGTAATAAGAGTTTGGGCTTTAAAATTTAAACAGAACTAGCATTGAGTCCTTTGCGATAATAGGCAATTTTATATAGCTTTTCAAGCTTTCACTGTTACCCTTAAAAGGTGGGGGGGGAGGTGACAATCCAGCCTACCTCATGAGGCTTTGAGGGAGGTAGTATTAGGAATGCAAAGTTTTTAGCACAGTGCCTGATACATCATAAGATTCAATATTGATTTGTAGCAAGTAGTGTTATTTTCTTTAGGAACAATTTATCCTAATAATATGTTGTTACATTTAGAAATAAATGAATATAATGCCAGTTAATTTTAGTAATATTATAAAGTATATAAACTAAAATATTGTTGGAAAGAGTAGAATGAATTAACCCTAAAGTAAATGGGGTTTTTTAAAGGATGTTATTGAGATTATTGGATTTTAGGCACAGTGGGGTCAGATGTAGGATACAGAGATAGGGGTTTTGAAGGAAGTAAAAAATTTGACTTTCTCCTTGGCATGATTGTTGTCTGTAATATTCTTTTCACCTTCCTTTCTTAATTTGAAGACAGAATATAGTTATCTATGGAAAACTTATCCAAGTTAATGGTGAGCAACCATTGAAGTGAGTGCCCTCTACATTACTGAAAAGCAAAACTAGTTTATTATGTGTGTTTATCATCTAAAAATAAACTGTCTATTCCATCTAAGCTGCCTCCTTTTAATTTCTGCCATTACTTTTCTAAATATTGTTTTGATGTGAACCAAGGACTTTAAGTTTAATAATTTTGGAACAGATACTCAGACATTGTTTCTCAGTCAGGGTATTAGTATGATTCACTATCACTATTCCATAGTGGTTTGCTAAATTATCTGAAGGAATTTGTTTAAGATAAGGTCTGTAAAGAGTCAAAACTGTAAGGTCTGAAAACAGTGAAATATTGTGGGAAAGTTAGCAACTCTGTTGATTGATATCTTGAAGAATTAACTCTTCAGTTCTCAAAAAGAGAGATAAGTGTGTGTAGTGCATGTTTGTGTGACAAAGTGACATGACAGTGTACATAAGATTTCAGTGATCATCTCTGAATATATAGATCCTGCATGTTTCACACCTCCCCTGGTACCATCTTATCTTACTTTACTGTTTTATGTGACAAACAGGAGAGGAAAAGTTTTGACACCTAAGTGCAATGTCACCAACTTCTGATGTGAACAACTCAATCCAGGAATGCCTTGTGTACCTTCTATGCTTTAATCTCTAATGCTGCTTTTATGCTTCTTTTTTAGGAAACCAGTTGTAAGAACTCTCTACCCATCCTTTTAGTAAAAGGCTTAGAAAGAGAGATGCCAAAACCATCCCCAAAAGCCAAGGTAAATTTCATTTGATCTTGAGGCTGTTGTGTGAAGCTTTTAGTGTGGCTCTGTATGCTCTCCTATCTCCACACTCTGTTGCTTGCACTTCTTTCAGCCTTTGGGATTGTTTGTAGGGTGGGGGCTGGTGATATAAGAAGCAGGTTTCATTTTAATACATTTAGTCAAGGTTTATATGCCTCCAAAACTTCCCAGAACACTCCTGTTATTTAATAAACAATTCTGTTTTTTAGTGGTTGGTTTTACCTCTCCTTAGAGTTGTTTCCAGCTTCCAATACAGAATGTAGTCAAATGCAGAGATCTTGCCCAGGGTATTTGTTTGTTTGTTTTGGTACCAGGGACTGAACTCAGGACCTTGCACTTGTGAGACAGGCACAGTGCCCTTGAGCTAAATCCCCAGCCCTGCCCAGGGTACTTCTAAGCATGATAGAAATTTGTGAGATGCATTTTCTCCTATTAGGGTAAAGTAAAATGTCCAACTGTAATTTTTCTTTTTCAAAATAAAAATGATTATTGACTTTTCATAATAAAATTAATACATAATTAATAAAATACTTAAATTTTGACAAAGAAAAATAAAAACTATCATAGATATAATAGAATAAAAAGTCAATATGTAAAATTTTGTTTCTTTTATTACAAAAAATCCAAAATGCACATAAGTGTTTTACCAGTGAAAAGAAAAAATTTTAACCTAAAATATGTCATGAAAATTTGATCATTTGTCCACTGAGAAAAGTGACTATATTAACTTCATAGCCACTTATTTTCCTGATCTTTACCTTTCCTTTTGAGTAGAATGTTTTCCTAACTAGGTATATGTAACATTTCTAACTGGTCCCTTTGACAATTGTAGAGCTACCTTTTTTCCCCTCAGTTCTAAGACAAAATGTTCTGTAAACTTTCTTAGTCTTCTGTAGGCAAGATTTTATTTTAAAATTCTGTTTTCATATTTTAATCACAGATTGTTACAAAAATAATTATGACTTTATTTGCAAAGGCATATTTTATTATGGCAAGAGTGAAGTTTACTTTAAAAAGAAACAAAAATATCATTCTTTGTAAATCTTAACTATATTATTTTTGGAAAATTCAATTATCTATTATGCCTTTTTCTAGATTTAAACTAACTTTTGTATCTTTTTCACTGAAACATTTGAATGTGGAAATGTACATAAAAGTAATTCATGTGTATGGTAAAAGTTTTCTGTTTATTATACAGTTAATACCTAAGAATTCAGTGTCCAAAATATACTCATCAAACAGGTGCATTAAAATGATATATGGTCTCAGGAACATTTTTGAATGACATTTTCTTACTAATTCCATTTATATTGCTAAAATTATTTCGAGGTGATCAGACCCTAGATGAGTCATTTCCAGAATGAAAGATATTTTTGTACTGTTTATAAAAATTTTTTGAAGAGCTCCTAATATAGTCATGAAATTCATCCAATTTATAATATTTTAGGTATATACAGAATCAATAATTACTGTATGCTTATTCTCCTTCCTTCCATCTATCTCGATATATGGTTTATGCCCATTGTAACTGAGTTGAGAAATCAGTTCATTAGTTAAGTCTTGGTTTGTGATGTTGGCTTCTTTATGACCTTACATGAGCCAGCTTAAGTTTACATGAGCAAACTAATCTCTGCTTAGTTTAGGAGTGATTAGAATCTTTGTAATTGGAAATCCCAGAAATGAGTCAGACCATGTGAACTACAAGAGATTATGAAGGCATGAACACTCTCACCAAGATTTTATAAGATATTTTTCCTCTAGTTGATCTGTGAAAGCTAAAACTGAGAACACCTTGAAACTATGGGTGGTATATTCTTTTTAGAGTGTTTTAGTAAGCTCTGAGAATGATGTGTATCCTTGGTATTAATATTGCTCTCTTTGGCCTCCATTGCTGTCTTTCTCAGAGATCTCTAGTCACAGATGTATTTGCCTTGAGCAACTAAATATTTCTGATGCCTGCATGGGCCAAAGATATAAAAATCCAGAAATGGCCTATGTCCATTAGCTCTAGAGATACCTCTCTAGGCTAAGCCATCTGCCCGATGTGTGTTCCCTCTGCCAACTGTTGTCTCTGCTCTTGGGTAATGGGAAGGATTATATTTCTCTTCCTTAAGTAAGACAGCCACTTCTTGATTTGAGTCCAAGAAGAAAAAAATTATACCTCCTTCACACTGTGCCATGATACTTCCTGGATGAGTGATGGTCCCCACCCCTTCAAGCTCAAGGACAAACTCCTGAAACTTTTCATGCTCGGGACTGTGGAGACCACATATACAAACAAATAATTGATATAGATGACATGGAAAATGACATCAAATAGACTGTTTAATAAAGAGATAGTGACTGTGGAAAGACACAGCTACTGAAACCTAGTAAGATCATGACTAGCAGAGGTGACAGAGTATATTCCACATGTACTAGGACTCTCAATGAGCTTCACAACTCCTGTTCATTTTCTCAAAATATAAACCAGAAGAGGTTATACAGGAAAGAAAATGATCTTCTTTTGCTCTTCTCTTTGGGTATGCTCTGGACTTCCCGCCACAGTGTCTGTGTTTTGACCTCAGCCAAACAGTCAAGGTCAGGTGATTGTACAAGGCTGTATATCAGATTCATTCAGTGCTAGGATGAAGGTACATAATAAATGATGATTTACTTCCTTCCTGAATTTATCAGTGGATTAAAAACATATTAATGAAAATTAAATTTCAAGTACATAATAATTTGGGTTACTCATTGAATTCTCCTAGTACTTTTAAAGATGTTTCCTTTAATAAGCAGAGTTGCTAACCATAATATGTGTGATAAAGATGATGCTGTTGTCAAGTTAACAGTTATGGGACAGAAGGAACTACTAAATTATTTTTCTTTTCAAAGGTTATTGATTTCAAGGACGATGAATTATTTAGGATTTTCTTCAATAATGAGACTGGCTGTTGCAGTTGTGTTTTCATAAATGCTTTTTAAAATGCCAATGCTTATTAGCATAGTAAACTAGAAATTTAAAATAATATAGGTTTATGAGAAAATTTAGTGGCAACTAATTTTAACATACAAATTAACAAATAATTCTATAAAGTTTCCAAATTATTTTAAAATAATTAATGGATATACATATATTTATTTTATGTTGCATTTATTAATGTGTACATTCTAATTAATATTCTTTTTCCACTTAATATTTTTCTACTCTGTATTTAATGGATTAACTTAGTTTGCATGTTTACTCTTTCAATAAAAGTATCAGTAGTAATGGTAGTGATGATGATGATAGCTAACATTGATAAAGTACCAGGCATTGTACTATTTAATGCATATTGTCTCATCTAATAATCATAAAATTTTGTGTGTTATATCATATTTAGCCATTTTGAATATTTGGGACTAATTCAATGTAACGTTAATATTAAAATCCACTATACCATGTGTTGCTAAAAATAACTTAACTATAAAAGAATATTTTCTTAGATTTTATTACCTATAGCAGAATTAAAGGATATGAATAGTTTTAGGAATAACCACCTAATATATCATCTGTCTTCCCTCAGAGTAACACTACTTTGAAATTGATGTTTATCATTTCCAACCATGTTACTGGCTAATATCTGTCTGTCTATAGTATTTATTATAGTTTTGCAAGTTCTAAAACTATATAAAAACAGTATACAGTACATTGCCTTCTGCAACTTCCTTCTGCAAAGTCTGTGTACCACTCTGCAGCCCTTCCTTAGTGTACAGCAGCAGACAGCAGGGCACAGATTAGTGATTTGGGAACACAACCCCCTCTCAGTCTGCACTGGATCTGTAACATGACCAAGACATAAGCCTGTTTTTTTTCTTGTTTCTTCTCTTCCATATGATTTGTCATTAGTCACTGTCACTTTTAGTAAGAATATAATCATTCTATATTCTAGTATAATATATTCTAGTATTTTCTGAGTACTTAGATTATCTCTAATATTTAGGTCATTTCCATTGCTATTACAAACATGACCCTTCTTATTCTATGTGGAAGTATTGAGTCATGAGCAAGTACTGCATCTCTAACTTGTCCAGACATTAAGAATGCTCTCTTAGGATGTTGAAACAATTTAAATGATAACAGTTTACATTTTTCACATCTTCACCAATCCTTGATAATGAGAGTTTCTGTTGCTACTGTTTGTTTCCCCCAGTCTAACAGGGGTGAGATCATCTTGCCTTACTGTAGGTTAGATTATTCTGTTTCCAGTTATGGCCAACACATTTATTAGTAACTAAATATCCATGTGTCTCCTACCCCCTGTACTGTGACATGGGGCCAGCTAGCTATTTACAGCCAATTGGCTATAAGCAGAGGTGACAACTGTCACTTCAGGAGCTGAGAATTAAAAGCTTGTGGCATGACGATCCAACCCTTCTTTACTGTATAGCAACTAGACAGTGGAGCATGATTCTTTAATGACTATGAAAAGATCCTGCCAACCTGCATTAGACCTGTTTCTGATCAAGAAATAAACTTCTGTTTTGTAAAATCACCAAGATGTCTGGGTTAATTTCTGACTTCATTACAATGTGGTCTATCCTGATTAAGACAAGTGGGCAGCTTTCCATGCGTTTATGTTTTCATATGTTTACTACCCTCCCATCATATCCCAGACCATTAATCTGAACACTACTTTGTCCTGTCATTCTGTTTTACTGCTGAGTTGTTGGCCTTTTTCTTACTGAGTTGTAGAAGCTTGATTGTTAGCTGTTTTCAGATGTAGATGTTCCAAATATACTTCCTTCGATTTTTTTGTTTTATTTTTATATTGAATATAATGCCTTTTAATCTATAAAAGTTTTTTATTTTAATGTAATCAAAATTATCCATCTTCAGTTTTTGTACATTTCTCTATCTTGTATAAGAAATTCTCATCTGGGCCAGGGATTTAGCTCAGTGGTTCTGATGCCTGCCTCGTAAGCGTAAGGTCCTGAGTTCGATCCCCAGTACA